ATATGGCTGTGGGAAACTGAAGCTATACTGCTGTTATCCTATTTTGTTTTTTCTCCATAGAGTAGGTGGGTATGAAGTATAGAGCATATGTGGCTGTTATGCCGTGTTTAATTTTATGGTGTGGACGCACTAAGCAAGGGCAAATTGAAGATGATATTCTCGTAGAGGACTAAAAGGTGCAGTTGATAATACAAGAAATAACTTTCAAACATCAATGATAATGACACAAATAAATGAAAAAGATGGTGGAAATTGCAGCTTATAACCCAAGTACACACGGTGCTCCCAAGTTTCAGCTCTTCTCTTGCCATGCATACTTAGGGAAGGACAATGTTTATTGTGGGGGTGTTTTGGAGGGACCTCCCTCCCCATCGATCCCTCCCTAAGCCAGTGCTGGAAGGGCATACCCAGTCACGACAACTTAGATTGTTAAATAAATTTTGTGACAGGGAGTTAGGAGACTGTCTCTGGCGACTGTCCCTGTATTGTAAAGATTTACCAGTTCCACTCGATTATTTTCAGAAGTTGAAAATGCACATTATGTAGGGATATACATGTAGATGTCCAAACTGTTACAAGACTACTGCTTGTTAGATGATGTTACTGTATGTGCAGTATATATCTCTAGAAAGGACAATCTATTTCAGAAATAGAAAATTGATTTTAGAATTTTTATGCCTAGTCGCACACCAACATTAACACTGCCATTGGGTGACTTGTACGTACGTGGTATGGCATGCCTGGACCATATTCTGGATGGCATGTGCATAAGTGCCATGGTGCGCCGGTCCTTTTCCGGGGACATGTACAGTCATGCCGCACACACTATGGTCCCCCTACAGCCTGGGGGGGAGAGAGCCTTCGCATCAGGAAACCACCTGGTGGCATTGGATTAGAATGTAAGCAGAACCTAGAATATTTATATCCCCCTCCCCCCACATTTTTAGATTATATGGTCCGTGATCTAGTCAAATCTTTGAAACTAGGTGTGATATTTTATGAATACTAAAAAAAAAAAAAAAAAAAAAAAAAAAAAAAAAAAAAAAAACCTAGTCAGTGTGTTTTTCAGCAATTTCTAGCTTACAGACCCCCCAGACTGTTCATCATTACAGAAGAATCTTTGCCATGTTTTGTTTTATTAGAATAAAAAGGATTTATTGCCTTAGAGGGCAGATGTAAGATGTAGAGGAGATAGTATTTGTTTGAACCATGGTGGGATTTTAAGCATTCTGTTGTATTTTTATATACGGTTTGCTAAATCATTAGAAAATACAATTATCAGTAATAAAGGAATTGTATAAACAATAATTACTTGGCCAGCCCTCCACCCCCCACCCCTACAAAGAAAATATAAAAGTAGAAATAAAATTCCAGCTCTAACTAGAAGTGAATTTTAATTTGAAGAGCTTCAATATACACGCTAGAAAATTTCTAGTAAACATGCCATGGAATAAACCATGTACTGGTCAGAATGTTTATAAAGTAAATCATGTGGTTTGTGTGTATATTTAGTTATATATGAAACATGTGGGTAGGGTAGGGGGGGGGGTGTTGCAAGTAATTCAGTCATGCCAAGAGGCAAAGGTATTCAGTGAGAGGTGGGTATCATCCCTGGGAGGGAGCAGAGAAATGTAGGTGTAGTGCTATCTGATGACTGTGAGGAGTTATAAAGGGAGGATTGAATAGAAGCAGTGCTAAGGGAGCACACTGTGATGGGGAGGAGGGGTGTTATTACATAATACTGAATATACTTACTCATGCTATACTCCATTCATACTTAAATAAGAAGCTGGGAAAACAACTTGCCAGATTTTAAAAGCTGATGCCCTTTCAAGACAACTTGCATGCGTGATTGAGGTGCCTCAGACTCTGAATTAAACTGTACTTTCCCAAAAATTCTTAATTGGGAAGTACAATGAAAATGTAAGGATACATAAGTGATAGCCACTCTTTGATGAAGTGTACTAAATACAAGTAGGGTTTGGAGCCTGCATTTCTTAAATTGAATTTACTTGAAAATATTGGCAAATGTTCATGAACAATTACATAGAATAGGACTAGAGTTAAAGATTTGTATCCTGGATTGTCGTGCAAAAAACAATAACTTTCAACGTGAACTTTCATAAAAGACAGTACTTTGATTATTTGATAATCAGTTACTAGGTGGTGTACAAACTTTATCTTGCCTGAATATTTGTGGTTGGATGAATTAATATTTATCAGAGTACGAATCACAAATATTGTGATACAGTAGGTCTATAGATTAAAATGATATATTTTTGGTTTTACATTGTTTGAAGTGTTCTTTATAACCATACAATATGTTTTTCATCCTAGCCCATACCTTTATTCTGTAGGTTGTTAAGCATTGATCATAATGTTAATTAAAGAAAGTTGCAAACGCTTTATAATGGTGATATTTAAAGGGGCAGAAAACCTCAGGAAAAAAGTGGAAATGTTGGTCTTAGCATTGTGATTTATCATTTTCATTGTAGATTCTTAACCCATTGGTGCCAGGTAATTGCACTGTCTGTTGTAGTGTTTAGGGATTCTGTTAACTGAAAAAGGGCTTTACAAGTGCTTAGTCATAACATTGTTATTACCAGACCTCACCTGATATTCATATCACTTAAAAATTCTCTTTCTCCCTCCCTCCTCCCTCTCTCATGGTAATGGTACATGGTAATGGTACATTGCCATCACCCAGGCCTTCTCCCAACCTGTTAGAGAGAGAGAGACAGAGAGACAAGACACAGGCAAATAGACAGACAGATAGATATGAAATGGATTAATTACTCATCTGCTCAAATTTTGCAATAAATTGGTGTTCACTGTTCACATGTTTGGTTCCTTACTGAGATCATTGAGGAGCTAAGACCTCCTCATAAATAGGTTCAGTATCTCTTGATTCAGATTTTTTTAAACAGGATAAAAGGTATTTTTTGTCTTAGGTGTCTGACTAAGTATGAAGCCCAAAGTGTGTGTGTGTGGGGGGGGGTGCAAGGAAATTTTGCAAGAGTGGGTTAAGTGAGTGTGCAAAACAGAAAGGTGGAGAATGATTTAAAGTATATTAATTAAGTACATAAAAAGTGACTATTACATCTTAGATGAGGGCACTGTAACCCTGTCTTATCAGTCTGATGCCCACTCCCTCTACCCCTGCTGACTATTGATCATGGTTTTACTCAGCTTGCACCCAGGGAACCTATGAATGTATCTTCAGCTTATCGGTTTTTCTTATCATTCCTGTCCTCCTCCCTCCCTCCCACTCCCTCTTCCTCCTCCTCCTCCCCCTCTCTCTCTAACCCCCCTCTCCCTCCTCCCTATCTCTCTCCCTCTTCCCTGCCCTCCTTCCCCCACTCCCATTTTTTCCTCTTCTTTCTCTTCCTACAGCTACTCCTCTCTCTGCTGCTGCTGCTGCTCTTTCTCATCCTCTTCATCTTCCTTTTCTTCCTAGTTATTTTGCCCTGCACTAGCCATTTGCTCTTGGTAGGCTTCCCATTTTAGCAGCCAATGCTTTGGACAGATATTTTAAAGGGAACCTTCATATATCTTACTGTTTTAAGTGTTCATTGTGGTGTATTTTCTGAGTTTCTGAAGCCATTTATATCTATTTAGATTACATGAAAATGCCAGTTGTGCTGTTACTGGCTTGAGAATTTTGAAAGCTTTATCTGTAAAGATTTGGTGATGAGTTTTTACATCAAATGAATAAACAAACAATCCACTAAAATTTTCTGGACACGTTATTACATTTAACTTGGTCATAAGTATAGTAAACTTCATTCATGTATCTTTTCTTGGTTGGAAAAGAACATTTTTTCATTCTTTTTCTCGATGATTGTCATAAAAAATATTGTATATTAAAAATAGCAAGCGTGTATTGTAGTATAACAGTACAACAAATTTGATGGAACTCTGTGATAACATTATGCAGTTGTCGTTGTTTTTTGTAGATGTAGAAGATGGGTTTTATTCATGTACTTTTTCTTTACAGGAGTTTAACAGAGGATGGTCATGGAAACTCCATCACCGCAATGCGTTGGCCTTGAGTTTGTGCGCCAGTACTACACGGTGCTCAACAAGGCCCCCATGCACCTTCATCGGTAAGTTTGATTCTACATAATCTACTGCTGTTTCATGTGAGCTGTTAACTTTGTACATGATTTTAAAAATTGTCATAAATTTTATTATGTAATTTCTTTTGCCTTGATTTTATGCAGAGTCCATAGTTCACATTTTAATGTATGGAATTTGTTCTTCAGTTTTTTCAGTCACAATTCCTCTTTTATGCATGGGGGCCATAACTCCATGAGCGAACCCATTATCGGCCAAGCAGACATACACAAAATGATCATGAGCCTTAACTTCCGTGATTGTCATGCTAAGATCCGAATGGTTGATGCTCAAGCTACACTCGGTAATGGAGTTGTCATCCAGGTGAGTTCATACTAAATCAACATGTTATATGTTGATTTAGTATATTTTTTGTTTATTTTGTAAACTCTGTAATTAGAAATAGATCCTTATTACATTGTGTGAAGTACACTTTAATTGGCTGAATGTCTTAAATTAAAGAATTTTTTTTATTGTTCTCATGAAAGGTTACTGGTGAGCTCTCCAACAATGGAATGCCCATGCGACGATTCATGCAGACTTTTGTACTAGCGCCTCAGACCCCCAAGAAGTTCTACGTGCACAATGACATTTTCCGGTACCAAGACGAGGTAATTATCCTAATAAATTTAATTGTCTCTAATATATTCGTGCAAAATTGTGAGCAAAGAAAATATTTTCAGGGTCTTTCTCTCTCTCTTTCTCTCTCTCCCTTTTTCTCTCTTTCTCTCTATGTAAATGTCTTCAAATTTATCTATAAATATTATACTAGTAAAAGTAAAGGCAACCTCTTCAGTATGATGCCTTTTTTAAGCCATCCCGTCTGGATCAATTACAAAGCATGATGTGTTCTTTTTCTGTGGTAGTATAGATAATTACTGTTT